GGGGACACTGGGCAGGGGCAGCCCAGCCATGGCCATCAGCCACCCCCAGGAGCAAATGGCCAGAGCCTGCTCAAGGCAGCAGAGAAGACCAGGCCCCAGGAGCCCCTCCTGGAGGGGCAGGAAGGGAGGCTCCAGAGCTCTGCTGCAGGAAAAGACATCACTGGCAGGTCAAGGTTACTTATGTGACTCAGGCTCTGTCAGATTTAAGAAGAACTCATTAAGCTTGTGACACGTCGTGGGCTTGGGGCATCCCAGGGAACCAGCTCACACAAAGCACTTAAAACTGAGGATTTTATATACAACCCTCCATGTGTGTACCATGACCTGCAGTCACAGGGGAGGTGGGTTTGGGAGCAAATTTTCTGAATGCCTGAGGAAATCCTATGGCTCATTTTTGTGAGTGTAGAAACAAACCAGTGTTGTAAAACCAAGTTTGCCCAAACTCCATAAAAACACAAGTGAGTCTGCAGGGTAAGTTTCAGAGCCCTAAATAAATCAATCTCACATTTCTCAAAGGAAAAGTTAGTTTTACATATTAAAACATTACAAGTCTGGAAAAACAAACATGCTTGGATTAGGAAGGAGAGACTAGACCCTCATCTGAGACACCCTCAGAAGGCTGATACTGAGAACTGAGGCACCTTAGAGCAGAGCTGAGAGTACCCTGGGGGCTGAAACCCCCACTGCCATTTCACACACCAGCTGCAGTCCTGCCAGTTGTGTTCAGAAACCATTGAGCCTCTCTGCAGAGGTCTGAAAGTTTGCAAGTGACTCTGGATGACAGAATTGTAGCAGAAACACCAAAATTATCTATTTGAACAGATTTTTTTTTTTAATGGGGGGTGGTGGGAGTCCCAGGGGACGTACAGGGGCATCAGCTGTAACCAACTCTCTCATACACAGTGTCACTTCTAGAACTGACCTGTGTGCCAAATGGGTTTTTTTACACCACAGGCCTGTGATTAAACACTCCCAACCACCTCATTTTGAAAATCCACAGGATGACTACAGCACTTGTAGAAGCCTGTCCCATTTTGACTGCAGCCTGGTTTAATGGGAGCTACTAAAGATCAAGGCTTTCTTTACAGATACAAGGTGATTATTGTATGCTGACAAAATAAGCTGTTGCAAGGTTATTTGCTCCGAGTTAGAGGGCACTTCAAGCAGTTCAGACAGGCTAAAAAGCTTCAGCAAGCACTAACAACAGCAAGTCCCATTTGCATTCAGATAGGATTAACACCCCCTCCCTCTGCTGCCAACACCCATGGGGCCGGGGATCCCCGGGCAGCCGGGGCTGGGGAACTCTGACCAGTTCACACCAAGGGCTTCACAGCTGAGCTGGACACTGCCCCGGGGCAGGGCGGGTCGGCTGGATCGGGACAGCGCTGGAGGCCAGGGAGCCCAGATAACGTTATCCTGAATCACCTTCAGACGGAAAACAAGCTCTCCGGGCGGGCAGAGGGAGGAGCCCCGCGGCGAGCGGGTCTGCCCGGGCAGCCCGGCGGGCACCGGCCCCGGACACGCTCCTCCCTGCCGCGACCTTTGCTTCTTGGCCTCGAGAGTGGACACATGAGGTTCCAAGACTTCTTGCCATGTTGACCAGCAGTTATAAAACCGGCTCTCCCCTAAGGCTCCCCCAGCCAGGCAGCCAATGCCCGGGCAGGCCAGCCCTGCCTCCGCC